TTCTTGGTCCTATCTTGGCATTAAAATCACTGACAATGATCTTGTAGAAGGTGTGGTCTTCTTTATAGAACTTCTCCATCTCCATGTAGAACTTCTCAATTTTTCTCCTTCATCATAATTGGATGTTGGTGTGTAGACAACGAAGATAGAAACTGCCGGCAGTGAGTCACATCTATTCAAGTGTATTCGTCTTATTTGGGTTGTTAGGCATTCGAGTGAATCAATGTTTATGGCCAAGTTCATGTTGACAAGGACAAAGACACCACCGATGCCTCTTTTGTCACATGTTCCGAGGAACAGTTCTTCTCCAGTATCGAAAATGGTGTGATGTGACTAATCCTTCTTGTCTTGGTTAGACCAGTGATGTCGTACTTGATCTTTTGCGCTTCCTCCATCAGGTCCTCGATGGATGCATCCGATGCCAGCGTGCATGCATCAGTCATTAGTACAGACAGTCATTTTTGTCCTTCTTTGTTTTGGTGTCCTAGTTTGGCCTTGAGATTGTGTCAGCCTCTCCTTCCTCATCCTTCGTAACGCTGTTGTATTGGTGGCTCTTTCAGGGTCAGGGGAAGGAGACCCGTTGTGTTTACTGGTTTTGGCATATCGAATATACCACGGATAGCTTGCCAGGCTCTGCTATGCAGGTGGGACACTCTCGATAGCTTGCCAGGCTCTCTGAGAGGGATAGAGGCTTTTAGGGCGGCCTCTAATCATCCTTGCAGGTGTTCCCATGGTTCAAACCCTATTTGAACCCCATCAAATAGGGTGCGGTAATCTTGTATTAAGTGTTTTATGATGTGTCGCGTGGCCGCAAAGTGGCCACGCGGTTCAGAAAGCATCCTGGAGTGTGGCGGCTGGTGGGTAGTGGAGGTAGTGGAGGTCTGCCGAGCTGCAGGGAGCAGGCAGAGGATCTCTGTTCCCAGGTCTGTTGAGCCTGGAGTCCAAGGACACAGAGTTCCGCCTTAAACAAACAAAATGAACATCAGTCTAACTGAGATAGTGTTTTATTTGCTCTTCAGATTCCAAAGATTTATAAGTTTGCAGCTTGTACTATTACAGTGGCAGAGAACATCTGCTGCCCCATGGCTGTGGGTATTGGCGATCCTTATCCAAACTCCACTTGAAGATGACAAGGAATGATGATGTAGTTAGCACTGTGCATGCCCTTCGTTCATGAGACCAGGATTTGTTCCCCGATACCCCCCTCCCCACCCCCCCGACACAAAAGGAAGATGACTAAAAGCTTGTGGGGTCAGAGCAATAGGACAGTAAGTAGGACATTTGCCTTGCACGTGGCCAGTCTGGAACTAAGTACCCCCAAAGCAAAATAAAATAAAGACGTGATAACAATTCTAGCAGGAATGTGGAGAGATTGAAACCTCATTTATTGTTGGTGGAATGATAAAATTATCTTATAAAAAATAATTATAAGGGGGCTGGAGCAATAGCACAGCGGGTAGGCCTTGCATGTGGCTGATCCGGGTTCAATTCCCAGCATCCCATATGGTCCCCCGAGCATCACCAGGAGTAATTCCTGAGTGCATGAGCCAGGAGTAACCCCTGTGCAATGCCGGGTGTGACCCAAAAAAGAAAAAAAAATTATAAAATATAAAAATATTTTATAAATGATGATAAAATAATTATAAAACAGCCTGGTAATTCCTCACAAAGTTAAACATAGAGTTGCCATATATCCCGGTCACTGCCCTGCTAGGTGTCCACCCCAGAGAATTTGAAAGCGCTGCTACCAAAAATGTGGATCATAATATTATGTAGAATTATTCATATTCGCCTCAAAATGAAAGTAGCCCGAATGTCCATGGACCTCTTGGCCCGTGTTTTGCATCAGTGGTTCATATTTGGGGGACCCTGGGCTGACTGACTGCTCACATGTAATAACAAGGCACTTAGATAAAGAGACTGGCATATTCACACAACGGAATGTTATTTGACCATAAAATGGTGTCAAGAGGGGCTGGAAAGATATGACTGTCAGGTAAGGCCCTTGCCTTGCACTGCGCTCACCCAATTTCAATACACGGCACCCCGTAAGGTTCCCCCAAACTCTGCCACGAGTGACCCCTGAGTCCTACGAGCATCTCTGGGCAAGATGCTGATGCAAGCTACATCAGGGACGAACTTTGGAAACAGAGGAAGCCAATCACAAAATGTCACCTATCGTGTCACTGTCCCCGTCCTCCCGTTGTTCTTCGATTTGCCCGAGCGGGCACTAGTAACATCTGCATTGTGTGAGACTTGTTGTTACTGTGTCTGGCATATCGAATACGCCACGGGGAGCTTGCCAGGCTCTGCCGTGCGGGCGGGATACTCTCGGTAGCTTCAGGACTCTCCGAGAGGGGCGGAGGAATCGAACCCGGGTCGGCTGTGTGCAAGGCAAACATTCTACCCGCTGTGCTATGGCTCCAGTCCGTCACCTCTCATATGCTTCCGCTTATGGAAATATCCAGAATGCAGGCAAGGGTGTAGAGCAGAAGGTAGGTTGTGGGGTCAGGGTCAGGGAGAGGGAAGCACAGCGAGTTGCATGATGGCAAGACACAGTTCTCAGCCGGGTGTGCGGCTGGGAGCAGAGTCTGATCTGCTCAAGGGCGCCTCTCGGCTCTGTGCTCAGGCGCGCCCCCTGGTGGTGCTGGCGCTGCATGCACGGAGATCTCACCTTGCTAAAGAGTTTCCTGTGCGAGTGATACAAATGTCGGTGAGTTGGATACTGTACACAAACCCCGTGGATCCAACCGCGCGAAGGGGTATGTTTCATGGTGTGGAGAGTATATACATCACTGGAGCTTTTTTATTAGAGACGCCTTACTCCCGGTTTGTGCTCAGGGGTCACTCCCGGCCGACCTGCTGATGTTACAATAATGGATGTCAAGTTTTTGTTGTAAGGCAGGTGCCCTACCCGATGTGCTAGCGCTCTGGCCCCTTGCTGACTGTTTTGTTTTGGGGTCACTCCGGGGGCTCACAGTGGCCTGCGGGTGCTTGGCTCAGCCTATTGAGCTCTCTAACCAACCCTAGGTCAGGTTTTCCCATCCCCCCCCACCCCGTGCCGCCGGTTTTGGGGCCATACCCAGCGATACACAGGGTTAACACTCAGGACTTACTCCTGGCACTGCTCTGGGGACTTTGGGTTGCCAAGGACAGAACCTAGGGCAACCCCCCGAGCAAGGCGCGTACCCTATCCTATCCACTGTACTATCTCTCCAGCCCCCCAGGTCAAGATTCTTGAGAGAGGAATGCCCCAGTCTCCTGGCTCTGGGGGATTTAGCTCTGCCCCTGGTTCTGCTTGCTGACCTGATCTGTAACTTTCTCCTAATCAGGCTATTCTTAGTACTCGGCCTAATCCTCATCTTCTGCTCTGCCTGAGGCCCTGAAATCCTGGAAGGCCTCTTTCAGTTTGTCGAAGAACCTCCCTGCTTTCTTTGGAAGCCTCAAGGGGTGACAGGGGAGGGGGGGGCAGGGAAGCCTGGCCATACGGGTGTGCAGAGCAGAGAGGGGGTCTAGCTGTTCCTTGCACAGATTCTCAGCCGTCTCCATGATTTTAGCTGTGCTCTCCTTCATGCCTTTCTCCAGAGCTAATGCTTTAAGCTCCTGGGCCCGTCTGAGCCCCCAGAACCAGTTTGTCTTCCTCATGTGCTGGGGGCTTCCTGCTTGTCTTCGGCTGTTTCTCCGCTGACCCACCTGTTGTATCTTTCCTCAGTTGCTCTCTTCTTCTGGACCTCCATCCCGCCAGTGGAATCTTAGTGGGGCTTTTAGGAAGAACCCCTAGCGAAAATGACAGATGGCATCTGCCGTGTTTGCTTGGAAGGGTCTCAGGGAATTTTAATCCGTAGCAGTTTGCTTCTGTAGTTTTTCACTCAGAGAATCCGGCAGGCCCCGGGGAGTGGGGTTGGGGGAGGGTGGGCTGGCTGGGGTGGGATTTTGCCAGGGGGGCTTGGTGGCAGGGTCAGGAGTTGGGGATAGCAGCGGTTGGAACAGTGAGGAACGTGCTCTAGGTTGTACGTGTGAAGGAGAGAAGGGCCGGAGTGGAGCGTGGTCGAGGTCCCTTAAAATCAGAAAAATGTGGTGGTTTTTGTTTTGGGTCACACCTAGAGGTGCTCAGGGGTGTCTTGGGGGTGTTGTTGCATCTTCTGGGGACTGTAAGGGCCAGGATTGAACCCAGGGCTCTACCGAGCCCCGCCCTCCCTGTGAGGAATTCACTTACTTTGAGTTTTTGGTTTTGGGGCCACACCTGGCCATGGCTCTGCCCAGGGATCACACCTGGTGGCCGTCTGGGATGCAGGGGATTGGCTCCGACTGAGTTGCGTGAAGGCGATGCCTTACCCGCTGCATGATCGCTCTGACCCCACTGGCGCCTGCTTTTATTGGCCTCTGTCCCGCTAGCCTTTCCATCAATTTTTCTTTTTTCTTTTTGTGTTTTTTAGGTTTTCGTTTCGGAGGCCACACCCAGCAGTGCTCAGGGCCGACTCCTGGTGGGGTTCACGGGCCCATTTGGGGTGCCGGGTTTCCAACCTGGGTCGGGCTTCTGCAAGACAAGTGCCCCAGCCTTTCCACCTGAACCCCACTCTGCTCCCACCTGCTTGGGATGCCCCGCCCTCCTCACTGCCGGCTCCGGAGGAGGTGGGGGGGTGACCCCCAGGGCCCCCGAGACCTGTGTCGCCAGCAGTGTCTGCATTCAGCAGTGTCCCTGCGTGTTTCCCTGCCCTGCGTGCTCACAATTTGGGGGGTGGGCAAGGCCTCGGTGTGGGCCCATCTCCCTGGCATCTCTGCCAGCACCGCCGTGAGTCCGTGCCAGTCGAGTTGGCCCCCGCTTTGCCGCCGCTGCCGTGAGCCGTTCTACAGAGAGTGCCCGTCTGCTCCCAGATCCTCCTTACTCAGAAGCCCGCAGCGATTTCCCATTTTCTGCAGCCCGTGACTTTGATCCCTGGGCCTGGGCGGCACTCAGCTTCCAGAAGCGCAGGCAGCTCTGTCCACCTTACTTTTGATCCCGAGTCGCCCCTCGGAGACCCTCCTGTGCTGACCAAGGAGGAGCCAGGCCCGGTGCTTGTGTGAACCATCCTGCACTAGGCCTGCCCCAGTTTTTGCGTGTGTGTGTGTGTGTGTGTGTGTGTGTGGTGGGAGGTGTGGGGGATGTTGGACCACTTGGACCACACTTGGTGGTGCTCAGTGAGCCTGGGGGTCACTTGGGGGGCCCTGTGGTTCGGGGAATGGGAGCAGGGCCAGCCCCTGTCAGCTCAGTGACACATGGCCGTCTTCGCTGGTTCTGGCACGTGCATCTGAGTCCTCCCAGGGGAACAGGCGGCTTTCTGGGTCTCCTGCACCCTGCCCTTAACACAGTGCCGGTCACTTCAAGTGCCTGTCCCTGTTTATGGAGCCCACTCGCCTTCAGGATGACGCTCACTTCACCACACGCTTCCAGGCTGGGGGGTGGCTCTGCCGGCCCCAACATGCAGCGCCCAGGGTTCCAGCCCCCCTCCCCCCTTCGCCCCAGAGACCCTTCCCCTTGCAGCCAGGGGCCCCCAGAGCACCACTGGGAGGCTCCCTGCAAAAACCAAATTAAAGGGAAAATACCGACATGCTTATACATCGGGCTGGAGCTGTAGCACAGCGGTAGGGCGTTGGCCTTGCACATGTCCCACCCGGGTTCGATTCCTCTGTCCCTCTTCCTCTGGAGAGCCCGGCAAGCTCTGAAAGTATCCCGCCCGCACTGCAGAGCCTGGCAAGCTCCCCGTGGCGTATTCGATATGCCAAACACAGTAACAAGAAGTCTCACAATGGAGATGTTACTGGTGCCCGCTCGAGCAAATCGATGAACAGAGGGAGGACAGTGCTAGCTTGCCAGGTCCCTAACCTTCCCTTCCGATGTGGGAGAGGGCTTTAGGGACCCAGACCTGTGGGAGAGGGCTTTAGGGACCCAGGCCGATGGGGGCTGGGGCTGGAATGTGAAAGCCACCGTGGCCTCACTTCACCTCCACCACAGACGACAGTCTGTGTATCAGCCTCCCCGCCCCCTCGGTGTCCGGGGCCACTTGCGGCCAGCCCGGCCTTATCTCCCCGCGTCCCTCCTGGGCCTTTGATTCCCCAGGGGTCGGCTCCTCTCAGGCTCTCCGCCAGGCGTCTGCTGCGGCTTTCAACTCTCCTCTCTCCTGTCTGCTAATGATTATTCAGGGGCCGTATCTGGACTGCTGTTCCTCTCCCAAATCTGTGAGTCCTCTGTAGGGCAAGGGTCACAGGACCCATCCCCGGTCAGGTGACCGCTGCCTATAGCTGCCCTAGGCTCAGGCTCCGGCTCGAACCTGGCCCCAGCACCGCGGAGCGACGTGGTCCTCGAGGTGAGTCTGTGGTCTGGGGGGCCGGGCCCCCTCCTGCCGTGCCAGCTGCCTTTCCCCTTCCTGCCCCAGGCCCCTGGCCCCCCCGCTGAGCCTGCAGGAGGGGTTAAAGGTTGGGGTTGAGCTGCAGACCCGAGCTGGGCTTTTTGCTGGTGGGTCCGAGCCGGCTACTCGGGGGTTCCTGCTTCTCTTTCTACTTCTGTTTGGTTTGGGGCCACGCCGGCAGTGCTCCGGGCTCTTCCCGGCCCGGGGCTGGGGGTCCCTGGTGGCGGGGCGGGCGTGCGCTCCAACACTCGGCCCATTCACAGAACTCACCCCGATGGCCGATTCCGCGTCACCCCTCTCCCTGGACGGAGACCCCAGGGCGGCCGAGAGCCTGCTCCGGAGCGTGTTTGGGATGGTCGTGGAGGAGATTGTCTGGAAAGGGACCAGCACCTCCGAGAAGGTGGGTTCTTCCCAGAGGACGCCTCTCACCGGCACTGCGCCCCGGCCACCCCACCCGCCGTGGGCACGGTTCTCCCGGTCTTACCCGGTGTATTCCCCACTGTTGATTGCTTTGGACGCCGTCCCAGTGGGGCCGGAATCGATCTCAGCGGCAGAACACAGGCTCGGCACGCACGCCTGAGGTCTCGGGCTGGCTCCCTGGCTCCCAGCCCTCCCCTCCCCCTGCCAAAAAAAGAAAGAAGGGGCTGGAGCGATAGCACAGTGGGGAGGCCGTTTGCCTTGCACGCGGCCGACCCGGGTTCGATTCCCAGCATCCCATATGGTCCCCTGAGCACCGCCAGGGGTAATTCCTGAGTGCAGAGCCAGGAGTGACCCTTGTGCATTGCCAGGTGTGACCCAAAAAGCAAAAAAAAAAAAAAAAAAAAAACAACAACAGAAAGAAAAGTTGATAGCTCCTAAGGCCTGGATTGGTTTGGGGATGGCCACACCCAGCAATGCTCAGGGGTTTCTCCTGGCCCTGCACTCAGGGCCACTGCAGGAGAGGCTTGGGGGACCGTCTGGGATGCCGGGGATCGAACCTGGGTCTGCTGCGGCCTGCACGGCTAGCGCCCTCCCCATAGTACCACCCCCCTCTGGCCCTCCTTAGTTCTACCGAGGTGCGGGGTGGGGGGTGCTGTCTTCCCCAGACCAGACCCCACACACACACACACACACACACGCACACACACACACACACACACACACACGCACGTCTCCTGCAGGTCTGCGAGTGGAAGGAGCCCGAGGAGCTGAGGCATCTGCTGGACCTGGAGCTGCGGGCCCAGGGGGAGTCTCAGGAACGGATCCTGGAGCGGTGCCGGGCCGTGATCCGCTACAGCGTGAAGACCTGTGCGTCCCGGGCCGGCGGGAGCGGGGCCCGGAGTCTGCGCCCGGCCCCCTCTGAGTCTCGCTCCCCCGCCCGCAGGTCACCCCCACTTCTTCAACCAGCTCTTCTCCGGCTTGGACCCCCATGCTCTGGCCGGGCGCATTGTCACCGAGAGCCTGAACACCAGCCAGTGAGCCGCCCCCTCCCCACAGAGCACTCGGGGCGGGTGGGGTTGGCGAGAGTGCGGCGGGACCCCCCCCCCCCGCCCCGTTCCTGGGGGCTGGGCTGGCTCTGCCAGGCCTGTTCTGTGGCCCGACTCCGGGCGCTGCTCATTCTTGCCGCCAGCTGGTTTCTGTCTTTGGTCCTGTTCTTAGCTCATTTCTGCACCTTTTTCCTTCCCGTTTTGTCTTGGGCTGCTGGAGCGGGAGCACAGCGGGTAAGGCGTTGGCCTTGAACACGGCTGAGCCGGGTTCGATTCCTCCGCCCCTCTCGGAGAGAGGGTTCGCTCCCACCTGCACGGCAAAGCCTGGCAAGCTCCCCGTGGCGTGGCGTATTTTATATGCCAAACACAGTGACAACAAGTCCCACGATGGAGACGTTACTGGCGCCCGCTCGAGCAAATCGATGAATGCAGGGAGGACAGTGCTACTGTTTTGTTTTGGGGCCACACCCAGCGGTGCTCGGGGATCCCTCCTGGTGGGCTCAGGGGACCCAGGTTGGAAGACCCTGCGCCCTGCGAGCCGTGCTCCTCTCAGGGTCTGACACCCCGCCCCTGTCCCCCCTCCCCGTCCGGCAGGTACACGTATGAAATCGCCCCCGTGTTTGTCCTCATGGAAGAGGAGGTGCTGAGGAAACTGCGGGCCCTGGTGGGCTGGAGCTCTGGGGACGGGGTCTTCTGCCCTGGTGCGTCAACACGAGGCGGGTGCGGGGGGCTCTGGTAGTTCGGCTTTTTGGCTGTTGTTTTGGTTGTTTTGGTTGTTGTTGGCGGGTGGGCACACCGGCTTGTTGCTCAGGGCTCACTCCACCATGTGGGCTTCCAGGGATCGCCCGGGGTCTGCCGTGTCCAAAGCACGCGCCCCGCCCCCTCCTCTGTGTTATTGCTCCTCCCTGGCATCATTTTGGTTTTGTTTCTGCTTCTCGCCCCCTACGCCGGTGAGGTCCTCCCCCTCCCCTGTGGCCTCTTTGTTTCCTCTGGTGGAGCCCAGCCTGTCCCCTCGATGCCTACTCTAGGACCGGGGTGGGGGGGCGGTGTTGGGGCTGGGGGTGGGGGCAGGGGTGGAGGATGGGGGCCAAGGGGGTCTGTGGGAGCCGGGGAGTTTCTGGATTACGGCGGTGCCCTCTGCAGCATGGCGTTTTCGTGGGGGTGAGGGGCTGTTCCTTAGTGTGCCCACAAGACCCCAGGCTGCGCCCTGTGAGCTGTGGGGCGGGGGTTGCACGGGGCCTGCTGAGTGCGGCTGTGCCGTCCCGAGCAGGTCTGCAGCCACGCGGGAGCCGGTTGCCCTGGCCGCCTCTGTGTGTGTGTGTGTGTGTGTGTATGTGTGTCAGGGTGTATGTATGTATATATATGTGTGTATGTATGTATATGTGTGTTGGGGTTTAAGTATATGTGTATATGTGTGTACATATGTGTGTATGTGGAAATGTGTGTGTGTGTAAATGCACACGTGTATGTATGTGTGTATATATGCATGTATGTGTATGTGTGTCAAGGTGTATGTATGTGTATATACGTGTGTATGTGTATATATGTGTGTATAAGTGTGTGTATGTGGGTATATGTGTATGTATATATATGCATGCATATGTGTGTCAGGGTGTGTGTATGTATGTACATGTGTGTACATATGTGTGTATATGTGTATGTATGTGTGTGCATGTGTGTGTTTGTGTGTCCAGGTGCATTTACATTTGTATATCTGTGTAGTGTGTATGTGTGTGTGTTTGTGTGTGTGTGTGTGTGTGTGTGTTATGTGCTTGCAGGGCAACGGGAAGGGCTCACCTCATGGTGCTCAGAGACCACTCCTGGTTCCGTGTTCAGTGTTCCCCGTGGTGCTCACGGGGACCCCGAGGTGCTGGGATCCCACAGGCGGGGCCCCTGCACTAGCTCGCCGGCCTCTCCGGCTTGGATCCGTCCCTCCGGGCGGCAGACCCCAGCCCTACCCGCTTCTCCCTCTGCTGCCACCCCTCCCTGCGACAGGGGGCTCCATCTCCAACATGTACGCCGTGAACCTGGCCCGCTACCGGCGCTACCCGGACTGTAAGCAGCGGGGCCTGCGCGCGCTGCCGCCCCTGGCCCTCTTCGCGTCCCAGGAGGTGAGGGCGGCCGACTCCCACCCCCCACTCTCGGCGGGCCCTGGGCCCTGCCTTGCTTCCCGGGAGGGGGGTGGTCAGTGCTGAGTCCCTGCTCCCGTGTCTGGGCTGAGGGGTGGGCAGTGAGCGGCGCCCAGTGTCCCGTCCCCGTGTGAGCCTTGCAGCCGCTCAGCCCCGGGAAGTGTGACAGGCCCCGCTGGGCCGGGACACCCAGACATCTCCCCTTCGACTTGGCCCAGCCCCTCCTGTCCACCCCTGGTCCCCCGGCCCTGGCTCACGCCCTCTCCCCCCTGCAGTGCCATTACTCCATCCAGAAGGGCGCAGCTTTCCTGGGGCTCGGCACAGACAGCGTCCGGGTGGTGCAGGCCGATGAGAGGTGAGGGTCTTCCCGTGCTGGCCCCATCTGCAGCCCCCTTCTGCAGAGTGGCTGCTCGTTCCCCATCTCTGACCCTCTGAGGCCCCCCAGTGTGGCCCACGCCCACCCTGTCCCCCAGCTCAGAAGTGGTTCAGCCCCTGAGTGGCTTCTCTGGCCGTCTTGTCTCCCACAGAGGGAGAATGATCCCCGAGGACCTGGAGAGGCAGATCAGCCTGGCCGAGGCGGAGGTGAGGAGCGTTCCGGGCGGGCAGGTGGGGTCTTCTCTGTGCTGAGGGCGATGCTGCGTCCTCCTCCATCCCTGTGTGTGAGGCTGAGGGTCACGGGCACTGGGGCCCAGGGCCAGGGTTGGGGGCACCTGCGGCACGGGGCAGTGGGTTCTGTGGGCTAGAGGCTGGTGAGAGACGTCCCCCGACACAGTGGATGATGGGCTGTGGCTGCCCTCCGAGGGAGCATTTGGGTACCGGCTAGACATTTGTTTCCTTAAAAAACAACTTCTGGGATGGAGCGATGGTACCGCAGGGAGGACACTTGCCTTGCTTGCTGCCAACCCGGATTTGATCCCCGGCATCCGTCATGGTCCCCCGAGCATCACCAGGAGTTATTCCCGCTTACAGAGCCAGGAGTAACCCCTGAGCATCGCCAGGTGTGGCCCACAACCAAAAGGACAAAAAAACCCTTTCGTTGTTGGGTCTGGACAGATCGTGCAGGGGCTAAGATGTTTTCTTCACATGCAAATGACCTTGCTGTGATCCCTGGTGCCACATCTGTTCCCTCACCCGCCACTGAGCAGAGCACAAAGCCAGCCAGGAGCAGGCCCTGAGCACCGCCGTGTGGCCCCCAACATGTGAGATCTTGGGTTCAATCCTGATAGCGCCAAAGACACAGTAACATACAAATGAAAATATGAAGAAGAAAGTTTTGTTGTTGTTATTGAGGGGTGAGCACCAGTGTACCCAGTCGGTGTGGGGCTGGGTCGTACCCCACGGAGCCGAGAGGACAGGTATGCTCTGTCGCTGAGCCAGAACCTGTCCACATCTCTGGAACGTGTCTGCTGCAGATTGTGTGTGTGTGTGTGTGTGTGTGTGCGCACAAAGTACTCATTGCTAGTTGTAGTATGCACCTCACAGAACACGGTGAGACTGCTTTCGTGTAGAATAACAAACGGACTCGAACAATGAAAACTACAACGAATAGGGCATTTGCCAACCTCATTCCATCCCCCGCGCCCCAGGTGGTTCCACGAGCACTGCCAGGAGTGATCCCTGAGCTCGGAGTCAGGAGTAAGTCAGGAGCTCTGCTGGGTGTGACTCAAAAATCAAACAAAAATAGAAAATTTCACAGCGGCTAGGGCGTTCGCCTTACACACAGCCAACATGGCCGACCCGAGTTCGATTCCTCCGCCCCTCTCAGAGAGCCCGGCAAGCTACCGAGAGTATTCGATATGCCAGACACAGTAACAACAAAGTCTCCAATGGAGACGTTACTGGGCCCCGCTCGAGCAAATCGACGATCAACGGGAGGGCCTTTATACAGAGGTGTTACCGCTGGGCCCTCATTGCAGTTGAAGAGTTCCGCCTTATGGATTTGTTAATGATTCGTTTCCTTAGAGCTTGGGGGCCACACCCAGTGGTACTCAGCCAGGTATTTCTTTTTTTTTTTTTATTTTTGGGCCACACCCAGCGATGCACAGGGGTTACTCCTGGCTCTGCACTCAGGAGTTACTTCCTGGCGGTGCTCAGGGGACCATATGGCTTGCTGGGAATCGAACCCGGGTCGGCCGCGTGCAAGGCAAACGCCCTCCCCGCTGTGCTATCGCTCTAGCCCAGCCAGGTATTTCTTTTTTTTTTTTTAGAGAGAAACATTGCTTTATTTATTTATTTTTAGTTTTTTAACAAATCACCATGAGGTACAGTCACAGATTTACAAACTTTCATGCTTACATTTCAGTCATACAATGATCGAGCACCCATCCCTCCACCAGTGCCCATTCTCCATCACCAATGTTCCCAATATCCTTCCCACTACCCCCATCTGCCCCCCCCCCCGCCTCTGTGCCAGGCATATTCCCTTTTGTTCTCTCTCTCCTTTTGGGTGTTATGGTTTGCAATACAGGTATTAAGTGGCATTCATGTTTGGTCTATAGTCTACTTTCAGCACACATCTCCCATCTTGAGAGAGCTCTCCAAGCATCCTTTACTTGGTGGTCCTTTCTCTATCTTTGCTGCCTGCTTCCAAGTTATGGAGCAATCTTCCTGGTCCTTATCTACACTATTCTTGGGTGTTAGTCTCCCATTGTGTTACTTTATATTCCACAAATGAGTGCAGAACTTCTATGTCTGTCCCTCTCTTTCTGACTTATTTCACTTAGCATGATACTCTTCATGTTGATCCCCTTATATGTAAATTTCATGACTTCATCTTTTCTTTTTTTTTTTCCCTTTATTTTATTTTATTTTTTTTAAAGTTGTAGATTTACAATTTTTTGTGCTTGGGTTTCAATTATACAATGATCAAATACCCATCCCTCCACCAGTGCCCATCTTCCACCACCGTGGATAATATCCCTCCCACCCCCATCCTCCCATCCCCCCTGTCTCTGTGGCAGGGCAATCCCCTGTGTTCTCTCTCTCCTTTTGGGTGTTGTGGTCTGCAAAAGAGGCATTGAGTGGCAAACATGTTCAGTCCATAGTCTACTTTCGACATGCATCTCCCCTCCTGGGAGGATCCTCCAAACATCCTTTATTTTGTGCTCCCTTCTCTATCTGAGCTGCCCTTTCCTCTAGGATACCCGGCTGGCCTCTAAGCTATGGAGTAATCCTCCTGGTGCTGATCTCAGCTATTCTCGGGTATTAATCTCATACTTTGTTACTTTATATCCCCCAGATGAATGCAATCTTTCTATGTCTATCCCTCTCTTTCTGACTCATTTCGCTTAGCATGATACTTTCCATGTTGTACCACTTGTATGTAAATTTCATGACTTCATCTTTTCTAACAGCTACATAGTACTCCATTGTGTAGATGTACCAGAGTTTCTTTAACCAGTCATCTGTTCTTGGGCATTCAGGTTTCTTCCAGTTTCTGGCTATTGTAAAGAGTGCTGCAATGAACAAACAAGTGCAGATGTCACTTCGACTATACAGTTTTGCCTCTCTGGGATATATTCCCAGGAGTGGTATTGCTGGGTCAAATGGGAGCTCAATTTCTAATTTTTTGAGAATCGTCCATACTGTTTTCCAGAAGGGCTGAACCAGTGGACATTCCCACCAACAGTGAAGGAGTGTCCCTTTCTCGCCACATCCGCGCCAGCAACGGTTGCTTTTGTTCTTTTGAATGTGGGCCAGTCTCTGAGGTGTGAAATGATATCTCATTGTGGTTTTGATCTGCATCTCCCTGATGATTAATGATGTAGAGCATTTTCTCATGTGCTTTTTTGCCATTCGGATTTCTTCTTTGAGAAAGTTTCTGTTCATTTCCTCGCCCCATTTTTGGATGGGGTTGGATGTTTTCTTCTTGTGGAGTTTAACCAGTATTTTGTATATCCTGGATATCAACCCCTTGTCAGATGTGTATTTGGTGAATATCCTTTCCCATTCTGTAGACTGTCTTTGTATTTTGGTCACTGTTTCTTTGGAGGTGCAGAAGCTTCTTAGTTTAAGATAGTCCCATTTATCTATCTCTGTTTTCACTTGCTCGGCCAGTGGCGTGGCATCTTTGAAGATACCATTAGCTTCAATGTCATGGAGGATTTTGCCAACTTTATCTTCAATGTACCTTATGGTTTCTGGTCTGATGTTGAGGTCTTTAATCCATTTTGATCTTACTTTTGTACATGGTGTTACAGCCAGGTATTTCTGACTCTGCTCAGAGGTATCCCTGGTGGGTCTCAGGGGACCGTATGGGGTGCCAGGAGTTTGAACCAACACTTGACTGGCTCAGCATCTGCAAGACAACTAACTTACTCTCTGTATCATCTCTCTGGTCCTAGGAGAGTTTCACTTCTATATATAAACTTTTTTTTAAGAGGGGCAATATCTTTATTGAGATAAAAATTTACATGCCTTGTTATTTGCCCATTTAAAGTGTAGAATTTGGGACCAGAGAGATAGCACAGAGGGTAGGGCGCTTGCCTTGCACAAGGCCAACCCTGGTACCACACATGGTCCTCTGAGCCCTGCCAGGAGCCAGGAACGATCCCCAACCACATCTAGGAGTAAGCTTTTTTTTTCTCTCTTTTTGAGTCACACCCGGTGATGCACAGGGGTTACTCCTGGCTCTGCACTCAGGAATGACTCCTGGCGGTGCTCAGGGGACCATATGGGATGCTGGGAATCGAACCCGGGTCGGCTGTGTGCAAGGCAAATGCCCTCCCCGCTGGGCTTTTGCTCCAGTCCCTTAAATTTGTTTTTAATTTCTTTTTTTTAATTGAGGTAAGAGCAGTTGACAAGAGTGTAAATATCTATATAGTTTCTGGATGCAGTGTTGTCATAACTCACCAGTCCTCAGAGTGGCTAATATTGGTTTGAGTTTTTCGTTTTTGGGGGGAGGGCCCACACCTGGCAGTTCTCAGCACTTCGTGCCCAGGGAACCAAATGGCATGCTGGGGATAGAACCCTGATCAGCTGTGTGTAAGGCAGGTGCGCTGCCCACTGTGCTATCTCTCTGGGCCCCCAGAGTGCCACTGTTAGGTCGGAGAGGGGACCGCGGGGGAGGTGCTTACCTTGCATGTGGCTGACCCCGGTTCAATCCCTGGTTCCACACAGGGTCCCCTGAGCCTTGCCAGGAGTGATCCCTGAGTACCACTGGATGTGACCCCATTGTATTTTTTTTCTTATTTATTTTTGGGTTGGGCTGGAGCGATAGCACAGCGGTAGGGCGTTTGCCTTGCATGCAGCCAACATGGCCGACCCGAGTTCGATTCCTCCGCCCCTCTCGGAGAGCCCGGCAAGCTACCAAGAGTATCTCGCCCACACGGCAGAGCCTGGCAAGCTCCCCGTGACGTATTCAATACGCCAGACACAGTAACAACAAAGTCTCCAATGGAGACGTTACTGGGCCCGCTTGAGCAAATCGATGATCAACGGGAGGGCCTTTACCTTTACCTTTTACTAAAATTGCCAATTTTCTGGGCTGGAGCGATAGCACAGCGGTAGGGCATTTGCCTTACAAGCAGCCAACCTGGCCGACCCGAGTTCGATTCCTCTGCCTCTCTCGGAGAGCCCGGCAAGCTACCGAGAGTATTCGATATGCCAAACACAGTAACAACAAAGTCTCCAATGGAGACGTTACTGGGCCCGCTCGAGCAAATCGACGATCAACGGGAGGGCCTTTACTTTTTACTTGATTTTTGGGTTGGGGTGATATCCCATGGTGCTTTGGGGCTGTTCGCAGGTCTGTGCTCAGGAGTGCTCAGGGAACCATGTGTTACATTAGGGATTGAACCCAGGTCTGGGTGTGCAAGGCATGTACCTTCTGTTCCCTCTGATCTTGACCTTGTGACACTCTGGTGGCTGCCAGGGCCTGCTTGGCCCTTGGGGTTTCTGGGGGCCCACGCAGTGCTCACGCTGAACCCTGGGACTCTGCAATCACGCGGCCCTTTGCGCCGTCTCCCAAGGCCTGGGTTCAAGTTCCGTCTCCCGCGTCTCAGCCCGACAGTGGGTCTCTCGGTCCCTCTCCCTCTGGGCTTCACCTGCCAGCCCCAAGGGAACAGCGACGTGTGGGCCAGTCGGAGGGGCCTGGGGGAGACTGGGAAGAGCTTGGGGCTGGGTCGACACAGGCTGCAGGGAGCTTCCGAGAGGCCTTCACACCCTCCTCCTCCTCCTCCTCCTCTGCTTGTGCACAGGGCGCTGTCCCCTTCCTGGTCAGTGCCACCTCCGGCACCACCGTGCTGGGGGCCTTTGACCCCCTGGAGGCCATCGCTGACATTTGTCACCGGCATGGGCTGTGGCTGCATGTGGACGTGAGTGGGCCAGGGACCGAGGGGGTGCTGGCTGGGCCGGGCCGGGCCGGGCAGGGTCCAGGGCTGACCGTGATCTTCTGCACCCCAGGCTGCCTGGGGAGGGAGCGTCCTGCTGTCTCGGACACACAGACATCTCCTGGCTGGGATCCAGAGGTTCACACCCCCCTTCCTGGAATCTCACCCTTCAGTGCTTCCTCCCAAGAACTCCTGATCCTTGTGGGCGGGGAGGGAAAGGGGGGAAGGAGGTGGGAGGGATGGAGAGAGGGTGAGCTGGGGATTCAGGCTGCAGGCTGGGGGCGCAGTTCTTCCTGAGTGCTAGCAGGGGGGTGAGGCTTTGGGGGATGTGTGGGCTGTGGGGGTCTGAGCATGCTTTGTCCTGCCCCTCCCCCCGCAGGGCCGACTCGGTGGCCTGGAACCCTCACAAGCTCCTCACAGCAGGCCTGCAGTGCTCGGCTCTCCTGCTCCGGGACACCTCGGTGGGTCTGCCTCCATCCCCAGCCCGTCCCCCCGCTCTCGGCCCTGGCCTTCACTTTGCTTTCTTCGCCCAGCTCAGAGGGGCTGCCAGCCCGAGTGCTCCGAGCCCCACCCCCCGGCCGCTGAGAACCTGCTCTCTGGCGGGGGCTGCCTGACCACCCCTACCCTTGTTGTCCTGCAAAGTGACACCTCCAGCTTCCGGTGGGAGTTGAAGTTTGGGAAGAACTCTGGGTGTTGGGAGAAGACCCCCCCATCAGGGCGGGGGTGGGTGTCTAAGTTTCCTGCAGCCTCCCCTGTCAGTGCTGCTGGGCTCCAGGGGAAGAAAGAGGAGATGTGCAGGGCCAGAACGCTAGCACAGCAGGGAGGGCGCTTGCTTTGCGTGCAGCTGATGCGGGTTCGAACCCTGGCATCCCAGATGGTCCCCGAGCACCGCGGGGAGTAATAATTAATTTCCTGAGCGCAGAGCCAGGACGAACCCCTGAGCATCGCCTGGTCGAAACCGAACACACAGGAAAGCGGAGGTGATGCAGGCGCAGAGGTCCCCTCCGCAGCGGGTGGGGCCCTGACAGCCTCCCTGTCCCCCCACAGAACCTCCTCAAGCACTGCCATGGCGCCCAGGCCAGCTATCTGTTCCAGCAGGACAAGTTCTACGATGTGGCTCTGGACACGGGGGACAAGGTGGTGCAGTGTGGCCGCCGGGTGGACTGCCTGAAGCTGTGGCTCATGTGGAAGGCCCAGGGCGGGCAAGGGCTGGAGCGGCGCGTGGACCAGGCCTTCGCCCTCACCCGGTAGGAGGGGGCGTGGCCCCGGCCTTCCCCTGAGCCTCACCCCTGCACCCCACCCCTGCTCTCTCACTCTCCGGCTCTGTCTCTGGGGCTCTTGTTTTTTTTTTTTTTGTTTTGTTTTTGGGTCACACACACCCAGCAATGCTCAGGGGTTACTCATGCACTCAGGAATCACTCCTGGCGGTGCTTGGGGGACCCTATGGGATGCCGGGGATCGAACCCGGGTCGGCCGCGTGCAAGGCAAATGCCCTCCCCGCTGTGCTATCGCTCCGGCCCCATGGGGCTCTTGTTTTTGTGTCCCGGCCTTTCCTCCGTCTGGGAGTTTTCTCTCCTTCTCTCTGTTCGTAGGTACCTGGTGGAGGAAATGAAGAAGCGGGAAGGATTTGAGCTGGTCATGGAGGTATGACCCACTGCGCCCCCCACCCCTTAGACACACGGACCAGATGGGGCCGCGGGGCCGCGGGGGGCTGGATGCCCTCGGCTCACAGTCTCCCCTCTTTGCCCTCTCAGCCTGAGTTTGTCAACGTGTGTTTCTGGTTCGTGCCGCCCAGCCTGCGGGGCAAGCAGGGGGACCCAGATTACAGCAAGAAGCTGGCCAAGGTGGGCAGGTGACTCCCTCCTTCCCCCTCCCCTAGCCTCCCTCGAGGCCCAGATGTGGGTGAGTGTATGTGTGTGTATTCCGGAATAGGTGAGGCCTGGCTTGGAGCAAGAGCAGGGGTGTGTGTGTGTGTGTGTGTGTGTGTGTGTGTGTGTGTATTTGGAGTAAGTGAGAAGCTTGGATCAGGGGTATTCTGTGAGTGTGTGTGTGTTTGAAGTAGGTAAGGTGCTTGGAGCAGGGTGTGTGTGTGTGTGTGTGTGTGTGTGTATTTGGAGTAAGTGAGAAGCTTGGATCAGGGGTATTCTGTGAGTGTGTGTGTGTTTGAAGTAGGTAAGGTGCTTGGAGCAGGGTGTGTGTGTGTGTGTGTGTGTGTGTGTGTGTGTGTGTGTGTGAATGTGTGCGTGGATTTGGAGTAGGGGAGGTGCTTCAAAAGTCCGGACGGAGATGGGCAGGGTGGAGGGGGTGGGCTGGGGAGGTGGCGCAGGTCAGTGGAGACCCCCCCTCCCTTGCAGGTGGCCCCTGCCCTGAAGGAGCGCATGGTGAAGGAGGGCACCATGATGGTGGGCTACCAGCCACACAGCACCCGCGCCAACTTCTTCCGCATGATCGTGGCCAACCCTGCGCTGACCCCGGCAGATATGGACTTTCTCCTCAACGAGCTGGAGCGGTTAGGCCAGGACCTCTGATGCCCTCGCGCCGGTGGCCCCGTCCCCCTCTCGGTCCCTGCCCCTCTGCAGTCCCTCCCGTAGAAACGGCCTTTTCTGGAAACAGCGCCGCTCCCTAGCACACTCCGGGCCGCGCTGGCTCCGGCGGGTGGTGGGCGAGGGCTTGACACACTGGAACGTCCTGCAGTCACCAGGATATTTACAAAGGGAATATTTTTATTGGGAGAGGGAAAGAGGTTTTGGATATGGTTCTGTTGAACAAGCTGGAAGTAAGACACTGTGAAATAATGATATCTGGGCCGTATTTAGAAACACGTAGCAAAGAGCCGAGGACCAGAAAAAGTTGCCAGAATGGTCATAGGATTCCCTGGGATGGCTCAGAGGCAATTTTAACATTAACTGCTTTATCCCATCGATGCTCTGCTCTTTTGTTAAATAAGGTGTGATCCTTGATTTTGTGAGCGGGAAAATAATAAACTTAAAATTTAAAAGTGTGTCCTTCTGGTAAGCTTTATTTGGTTCTGTTTGTTTATGAGCCATGGTCGGCTGTGCTCGGGGCTTATTCCCGACTCTGCTCAGGCATCACTCCTGGAGGTGCTGACCATGTGCAGTGGTGACCATCTGACCATATGCGGGAAAGGGAGCCAGGTTGGCCTGTGCGTGACCAGCACCTTAGCCCCTGAGTATCTCTTCAACCCCTCACTCTGAATCTTTTTCTCACTTTGAATCTTATTTATTTATTTATTTATTTATTTTTGCTTTTTGGGTCATACCCGGCAATGCACAGGGGTTACTCCTGGCTCATGCACTCAGGAATTACCCCTGGCGGTGCTCGGGGGACCATATGGGATGCTGGGAATCGAACCTGGGTCGGCCACGTGCTCTCCCCACTGTGCTATCTCTCCAGCCCCTCACTTTGAATCTTTTTAATTTCCTCTCCCTCTTCATATTCTCTTTATGACAGTTAATTTGTGTGTGTGTGCATATGTGTGGAGTGTGTGTGTGTGTGTGTGTGTGTGTGTGTGTGTAGATTCCAGGGTTGTGGCTGCAGCAGTAATGCAGTCATGGTGTACCGCAGACAAATGAGTGGAAGCACCACAGCAAAAGCCTCCACCCCCGCTAGCACCATAACGTGCGTGTTCAGCCAAGAAACAAAAAAGGAAAAAATGGAAAAGAGCTGAGGAGACGCAAGGGGCTGGAGCGGACAAGGTGGTTTTTTTTTTTCCTTTGTGGGTCACACTTGGCCATGCACAGGGGTTACTCCTGGTTTATGCACTCAGGAATTACCCCTGGCGGTGCTCAGGGGACCATATGGCTTGCTGGGAATCGAACCCGGGTTGGCCGCGTGCAAGGCAAACGCCCTCCCCGCTGTGCTGTCGCTCCAGCCCCTGGAGCGGACAACCTTTGTGTGCAGGAGGCATGGGTGTGGTCCCCAGCACTGTGTGGGCTCCCAAGCACCACGGGGAGTGACCCCCAAGCACTGAGCCCGGAGTAGCCCTGAGCAGTACAATGTAAACTCCCCCCCCCAAAAAAAAAACACAAAGAATGAGAAAAAAAGAGCAAAGGGAATCTTCACACACATACAAAAAGATTTTTCCTTCTTTAATTTGAACCACAGCAACCAAGTTAAAGCAAAACAAGAACAAGGGACTGGAGCGATAGTCCGAGGGTCGGGTCGGGCACTCGCCTGGCCTGTACGTTCATCCGAGCACTTCCAGGAGAGATTCCTGGGCCTGGAGCCAGGAGTCAGCCTGAACACTATAGTGTGTGTATGGTCCCAGAACAAAACCAGAAAAGCCAATAGCAGTCCAGCCACTGTCTTTTTGTTGTTGTTGTTGTTTGGGGGAGGTGTTTGGGCCACACCTGTCTACGCTCAGGGGTTACTCTGACAGTGCTCAGGGGACCATAAGAACTTCCAGGGATCAAAGCAGGATCAAACCATGTGCGAGGCAGAACCTTAATCCCTGTTCCATCTCCCCGCCTGCTCTGCCCTGCTTTCTGGTATCGCCTCTGCCAGACATAAAAATACTGTTTGGCATTTACGGCCCCTTATGAGGGCTTTTTTCTGCCACTTTTTGGAAACAAGTCATGTAGCTGCGTTATTAAGGACAAGTGGCAGGGCATGTCCACCAGAACGTTTTGTTATTTCCAGTCCCTAAAGCTACCACTTACGTAAAGGGTGATGTGGTCATGTAAAAGTCAGCCAAAGTTATTTGAAGAGGCAAATACAGACTGTACAAACCATCCAACCATCGCAAAAGGAAAGAACACCCAAAACCAATTCTCTCGCCCATTTGGGGGAACAAAATACTTTCCTTCCATAAATTATTATAGTTCCCCTCTAAATATTTCTCTTTTTTTTCTTTTTGCCACACCTTCTCATGCTCAGGGGTCACTCCTGGCTCCCCTGGCGGTGCTCAGGGGACCATCTGGGATGCTGGGGATTGGGCCTAGGTCAGATGTGAACAAGGCAAACGTCCTACCCACTGTACTATTGCTCTGGCCTCATGCTGTTACTAACCTCACACACTGCTCAAGGGCTCAGCGTCGACTTCTGGAATTCTCCATCAGTTGGGCCGATGGTTGAATGCCAGGGCCTGAGGGTGTGGTGCTGCTCAGGTCCTGGTGCCAGAGACCATCAGGACCACACCTGGTGGTGCTTGGGAGTGGGCATATGGTTCCAGGGCTTGAACTGGCATTGGATGTACCTTAACTGCTGTACTATCTCCCTGTCCCCTGAATCTGTGAGGGAGTGAGTGCTCCACCACTGAACTCATCCCAGCCGGCTCCCTCCCACACAGTGGGACTCTTTTTTTTTTCTGCTTTTTGAGTCACACCCAGCGATGCTCAGGGGGGTTACTCCTGGCTTTGCACTCAGGAATGACTCCTGGCGGTGCTCAGGGGACCATATGGGATGCTGGGAATCGAACCCGGGTTGGCCGTGTGCAAGGCAAACGCCCTCCCCACTGTGCTGTCACTCCAGCCCAGCACAGTGGAACTCTTGCTCTGGGGACCAGCCTTCCCTCTGCCTCCGGGGCTGCAGATGGATGCAACCATCCTCCATCGAGGCCCGTCTCTGCTCCATGCCTCTGCACCGGTACGCCTTCCCGTTCTTTCATCAACCCACTTCCCCCTGCCTCATGGCCTTTAAAAGTTTGTTCAGTGTCACCTCCTAAGTGAAGTACTTGCTTGAGTACTTCATTTCAAATTACATTTTCAGGGGCTGGAGCGATAGCACAGAGGGTAGGGCGTTTGCCTTGCACGCGGCCGACCCGGGTTCGATTCCCAGCATCCCATATGGTCCCCTGAGCACCGCCAGGGGTAATTCCTGAGTGCATGGACCAGGAGTAACCCCTGTGCATCGCCGGGTGTGACCCAAAAAAGCAGGAAAAAAAAAGTCAAATTACATTTTCAGGGGGCAGCGTAATCGTACAGCTGGTAGGGGCAATGGTAGCAGAGACCTTCTGGAGAGCGTGGTGCTGGAATGTTTCGTGCATGAAACCCTCCCATTAATAGGATTATAAGCCACAGTGCCCAGAATGAAATTTTATTTCTAGTTTTTTTTTCTTTTTTAATCAGCTTAGAGTATGACAAAGCTGTTCATGATTGGGTTTCAGTCATAGTATTCCAACACTCGTCCCTCCACCAGTGTGCATTTCTCAGCACCAATGTCCCCAGGTTTCCTCCCATCCCCCCCCCAAACCCCCAGCCCGTATCCGGCAGGTGCTTTTGTTCTCTCTCTCTCTCTCTCTCTCTCTCTCTCTCTCTCTCTCTCTCTCTCTCTCTGTCTCTCTCTCTCTGTCTCTCTATCCACTTTTGGACACTGTCCAAACAAAACAAACACTGTCCTCCCATTGTTCATCAATTTGCTCGAGCAGGCCCAGTGACGTCTCCATTTTTGAGACTTGTTGTTACTGTGTTTGGCATATCGAATACGTCACGGGGAGCTTGCCAGGCTTTGCCATGCGGGCAAGATACTCTGGGTAGCTTGCTGGGCTCTCTGGGAGGGGCGGAGGAATCGAACCCGGCTCGGTCGGGCTGGCTGTGCACAAGGCCAACACCCTACCACTGTGCTATCACTCTGTGATTTGCAGTATTGCTACTGAGAGGTTCTCAAGAATATCCCTTTACCTACTTTTAACCCTCAGCTCTTGTCCAGCGTGATCATTCCCAGCTATTATTGTCATACTGGTCTCTTCTCTCCCTCACCTACCTCAGCCCCACACACACCACACTTGTGGTTAGTTCCAACCATTGACCAGTACTGCTAACCCTTATTTTCCCTGAAGCAGCACTGTAGCACTGTCCTCCCGGTGTTCGTCGATTTGCTCAAGTGGGCACCAGTAACGTCTCCATTGTGAGACTTGCTGTTACTGTGTTTGGCATATCGAATACGTCACGGGGAGCTTGCCAGGCTTTGCTGCACAGGCGGGATACTCGTGGTAGCTGGCCGGGCTCTCCGAGAGGGGCAGAGGAATTGAACCCAGGTCAGCTGTGTGCAAGGCAAATGCCCTACCCGCTGTGCTATCACTCCAGCCCCTACTCTCTATATAAATATTTATTTATTCATTTATTTATATATCACAAATGAATGAAGTCCCTAGAATTAAATTTAATTAAAAAAACTTTGGTGCTGTAGGATGCTGTTTTCATTATTCGTCTTTTTTGTCATTTACTGGATTATTAAACTAAGGTGATGCAAAAAAAAGAAAAAGCTTGGGGGGCCCAGCTTGATAGCACAGTGGGTAGAGTGTTTGCCTTTCATACCGCCAACCTAGGTTTGATTCCCAGCACCCGAAGGGTCCTTCGAGCCCACAAGGAGTGAACCCTGATCTGTGCAGAGCCAGGAGTCAGTCCTGAGCACCACCAGGGATGGGTCCAAAACCAAAAGTGGGGGGGGAAAAAGAGTGAGAGGTAAACCCTGGAGCGAGGTGCGCACCTGAGCTCACTGCTAGGAAGAGGCCCTGGGTGTCGTGTCACCATGTCAGTGCAGGACTAAAACCTCCAGCTGAGGGCTTGGGGAGAGAGAAGGAAGGAGAATACGTCAGGTTCAAAGTTATTGAATAGGACCGCGGTGAGATTCACTTTCAAGTGAAAATGACCTCACATCTCAAGAAACACAGTCTAAGTCAGAGACAGGGAGTTCCAGTGAAATCACTCAGGCTTCCAATAAGAGAGAGAGAGAACAAAAGGGAATGCCCTGCCACAGAGGGAGGGATGGGGGGTGGGAGGGATACTGGGATCCGTGGTGGTGGGAAATGGGCACTGGTGGAGGGATGGGTATTTGATCATTGTATAATTGAAACCCAAGCACAAAATTTGTAAGTCTACAGCTGTACCTCATGATGTCTCAGCCCGGCAAGCTACCGAGAGTATTCGATATGCCAAACACAGTAACAACAAAGTTTCCAATGGAGACGTTACTGGGCCCGCTCGAGCACTAATAAAAATTTTTAAAAAATTAAAAAATTAAAAAAA